GCCCTTCATGCTGAGGCCCCCCAACAAGCTTGGCAGCCGATGTTCTACCTACTGTGGGTGCTGGCCTCACCGTGCTTGGTGAAGCAATGGCTTGATAGCACACATTCATAGGCATCGGTATAAGTTATAAGTTATAAGTCATAAACCTGTTAAACAGTCATGTGTGTGTGGCTTGCATAGACCCAGCAGGGACGTCTTGGAATTGGGCTTTGAAGGATTGGCTCGGCTTTGGCCTGGGCAACTGCACCCTTGCAGAATGCTGATTTGATTGTCTGGAAGTCACGAACAAGTGTTCAAAAAACAATGCGGTTTCTACAAAAAAAAGGAACATAACAAGGGCCCGGGCCGTCAACAGAGCTAGTACCCAACGACCTTAATGTTGAAAAGGCCACTCAAGAGTTCAAACTGGTTGCTCTGCACAGGGCTTTGGGCATGCAACTATGTTCTGCGTGCTTGCTGGGTGGTTGCTTACATAAATGGCCCTCAATTGTCTGGCGGCGCAATGACCACTAGTTCAGCACAATGTTGTTGGGAAGGTGGGAAGTGGTAACTTATTGCGCCAAACCACTCCCCTTTTTGCTGTCATTGCTTCTCTCTGGAACAACAAAGGTCGACATCAAAACAATTTACAAAAGCTGAACTATATAAAGGTAACAAATGACAAGGACTCCAAAACATGTCCATGCGGATGCCAAAGTCCATAAAGAGTTCCAATTGCAAAGCCACAAAGAATTGCATATTTATTATTGAGTTGATCCTTTCCAAAATGGAGCCAAGGAGGCTTTGAGGCCACAACATTCAGCTGATCTCCCGGCGATGCCTTGCCACAAATAACAGCGGTGGTTATCACACTTCTGCAACATCACGTTCGTCATGTTCTCTGGGCCACACACTCACAGACACCACAAACTACTCTGCTTTTTCCAAAAGATTTCTTCACTGAACCGGTTTGGAGCGGTACTTAGCTTAGCGTTCCTCGGAATTGTATTTCCCATCTCGTCCCTGGGCATTGGCCTCGTGGCCATGCCGAGCTACACCACAGGCGAGTTGACCTCTGAACGACATAATCACGTTGCCAGTCACATGCTCAGATCCCAAATTTGTAACAGCTTCTTAAACATGTTTGATACACTACAGGTTTTGTTTGATACACTACAAAAAAGCACACTGCAGCTGCGGTAAGTCTGTCTCAAACATGCAAATGCTTGGTCTTCGCATAACATCCTAGGCATCCATGAATGAGAGTACACAACACGGCCTGCAGTTCCTCTTTGTTGCGGCCCTTTGCCAAGAGCCTAAAAGCGGACCTGTAGATCAATCAAATTGTCTCGCTGCTCGATCCTGCCCTTTTAACTCTTTAATTTGGCACAAAAGTGCTATATATAGATATAAAGTCAATGCTAAAGTAGTGACTGTTTGCACTGATGAATGCTTCAACATTTTTGGAGCGCGACCGGCTGCATTCATGTTAGTGAGCGAAGGTTCTATACACCGTTAGTCACCGGTGAACTGGCAATAGCGTTGCAGTTGCTCGCGCACTAGCTGTCGGGCTGAGTGGGGCAAGGACTGAAGCCACCCAACTGTGGTGTGCGTAAAAGACTTTTTCTTTTCCAAGCTTCGCTATTGTGGGCCAAACCAAAAAAGCAACTACGACACTCCAGGTTGTTCCGTCTATTGAAGCCCGCTTGCTGTCGGGGCGGGTCAGCCAAACGACTTGGCCTGGCCATCTTCTAGGTAATCTCACGCCAGAATGCTTGCAGGTGCAGCGCATGGTCTCTAGTCTCAAATCTTAACCACTGGCGCAGGGCAGTAGCGCACACCGTTTCGAAGCGACTTCCTGGCAGACGGTTCTCGCCTTGCTTCGAGTGGCATTGGTCGAAGTGAACACACAGGAATGCAAAAGAATGTTCACACCTTTTTAATGCAACACAATGAAGATCCAGCGTTGCAGAAAAAGAGCTCTGATGTTCAACAATCTTCCTACTTTGGGAGTTCCTTCTTTTGAATCACTTCCAGCCCCCACACAGGGGAAGTTGAAAGCAAGAACTAGCGTTCGAGCAGGAGGCTCGACAACGGCGGTGTTTCCTCAAAAGGTGATACGTTGCACAAATGTTGCCAACTAAAAACTGATAGTATAACAGAGTTTACCAGAGATTAACAAAGGAACAATGGGCTGGAGAGGCAAAGCGCATCTTAGACGCTGCCTGGCCTACAGCAGTGAGTACTGCACTCCCACTGCATTCCATGCAGCTGTACATTGGTCTTTCAAAAACAAATTTCATCACTCAATCTCAAGGGAAGGAGATGCCACCCGCTGCAATGTACCCAGCCATGTTGTCCTCCAATGAAGCAAAGGCAAGGGGTTTTTTTAAAAAAAATGAATAAATCATACGAAGAATATATAAGAATATTGTACAATATGCAGTAGGTGTGCTGCAACCTAAACTGGAAGGGGAGGAGGAAATGTGGGTCCTTTGGAGCAAAGAGTGAGGCGTGTCTTAGACCCTTTTACTACCTGTGATTTAACATTAGGCGAGACCACTTTCGTGAAATGTACGTATTCATCTAGCTTTGCTCAAGCAACATTTTTGCATGTCCAATCTCAACGGTGGTGCTGCGGGGTTGTACACTTTGGCGACTTGCCCGGCGAGGTGAAAAGCTAGGGTGCGCTTGCAAAGTTGTTGCGAAGCTGCAAAGACGCAAAGTTCTTTGACGCAGAAGGCAGAGCCTTACTAAAGCAAGAAGGCTGAAATAATCCTTCAGAGTGTACGCTTCGATCAATTGCAACAATCCATGGAACACAGGGTTGCGCATCGTTTCAATGAGACAGGTAGGCATCTGGTCAGCGAAGCGCCTACGATGCTCTTTGGGTGCTTACCTGACCCAATCACCAAATAAACCACTACAATACACTACGTGACAAGCCTACAGATTCTCTCAAAATCACGACAAATCCCAGCCCAGCCCTTGATCATGGGATCGATTTCTAATTTGTGAAAACCAGCCATTGCTGAACATAACGGACTTACAGTAAAGGCTTGGGTCTGGATGGTTCGTTAGAGTTTGTGGGCTTTGTCCCAGCTTATCCCTGAGCAATGTCCCCTTAAACTAACTCTGGACAAAAACATTTCCACACACAAGGTGCTGGTGGCTGGCACTGCTACCAACGACAAGGATAATGGGCGTGGAGGCTTGCATCCGTCGAAACGAGTCGAGTGTGAGTGCATGAGCCAGCAAAAGAATGAGTGAGTGAGTGAGTGAGTGAGGGAGGGAGGGAGGGAGGAAGGGCGGGCGGGAGGGAGGGGAGGGAGGGAGGGAGTCAGTCAGTCAGTCAGTCAGTCAGTCAGTCGCTGGTGATGGAGATGAAAGAATGAAGATCAGAATGGAATGACACGCCCGGGATATACTCATCACGATGCTCGATGCTCGATTCTTGCGGTGTGGGGGTGGGCGTCGTTGAGGTTAGAGGATGATTCTGAAACTAGTTGCGGAATTCATCATCATACTGAATAGTTTCCGAATGCCAGCTGCGGGACCCGGCCAGTTGCGGAATCGGACTTTATCTTGAGGGTTAAGTCTAAAAGAATCACGACTTATTTTTTTTCAACGTGCAGACACGAGGTCTGTGCACCGAATCCTATGGATAAGAAACTGATTAATGTTCGAGTGAAACCTGGGATAAATGAGGTGAAACACCTTCCGGCACGCGCCTTCTTGAAGATGATAAAGGTAAGAAAGAGACGAGGACGCAAAGCATTAGTCACGACTTAGTGCATCAGCAAACAAAGCAACGGTGCGAACTTTGATGCATTTTCATAGGAGGAACTGGACAAACGGCAATCATTCCAAAGGATGAGTCGTCACACAACGGTGCTGCCCAATGCAAAACAAAAGACACATATTCTGTTCTGTGTCGTGTTGATGTATGTAAGTCTAAGTTCTTATGTCTAGGGCTAGGGGGCAGCCGAGTAGAGGTTGCAGTTGTGAGCACAGAACAAAACAGGTGCGAATTGTGCAGCGGAATTGGCAAACGGTCCTGAGGAACTAGGGCGCTTATTGGCAAAACGTCGAAGTGTGGGCTGTGTGAGTTCAAGTGGGCCTGTGGCACAGCAAGCATGGAAGCACATTTCACACAATTGCTGAGCTTTGAAGGACTCCGCCTCCCACTCATGATCAGAAAAAAGCTCTTGCGGCTTTCGTAGAGTCTTCTTAAACTCCCCGTGCCTGGCATGTGGTTGGAATAATCTAGCAAGGTGCAAATAAGAGGGAACACCAAAGCAAGTAAGAGTTCTTGTACGTCAAACAGGGCAATGCTGCGCATCCACGATGTCTGTCAACGGACCCCTCCCCACAGTTGTCCAATGAGGTGAATCTCCAGGCATCCTCACAAAAATAAAGGTGGATGAACCAGCTCTACTCGTCCTGGAATCAGTAGAGCAATTGCGCAAAGCTCTTGCATGCTTGGTTTGCTGTAGTCCATATGTCATGGTATCTTCCAATGCATGAGCACATGACTTTGCCGCCTGTACTGCACAAATCTCCACTTGGGGCTGTGTGCGCCTCGCAGGCTTGAGCACAAGCCCCATCATATCATTGTACTGGCAGTGTATTGTGGTTTCAGCAATCCATGCCATGGTATACTAAATTGTGTGTGTCCCATACTGAACTACGAAAAGCCAAAATGCTATAAAGCCACAGTGATGCTACGACAATTCTTGGTAAAGCGCCTTCAATGTGAACATCCCCCTCAAAAGCAGTTCCAAGTTCATAGCCATCGAGCGGCTTCCAATGGAATTCAGCCTTCACTGCAAAAGGTTGAGCAATCAAAGATTGCTATCCTCTCACCGCAGGTCAACCCAGTGGCTAAACCATTCAATCTCACTACAACACAAAACCTCTCAATACCATGTTTCAACCGACCGTCGGCCAGGCTAGCGGCTAGCTGTACACACACCTTGTCCCACAATCCAACTTGTTTGAAATGAAGGGCTCAGTCGGGCTCAGGGCTGCAATCCAGTCACCTTCCCAAGAGGATAAGCAAGGCCATCTCCTCGTGCTTTCACAAAGGCCTCTTTGGCTGACCAAAAGCGGGAGAAGGCCTCAGGCCACAAGCCAACTGAGTCAGTGCTGCCTCAGGCCCGAATTCTTTGTCAAACGCGGCCTCATACTCCTTGTCTGGACAAGGTCCATGAGTCTTTACATATTCCCACTCTTTGAAAGTCAGATTGTCCTCGCAAGTGAAGTTCTAAGCCTCTAGGCCACGTGAGCAGCAGCACGAATGCAACCTTGTGGTAACACATTTATGGCATCTCATGGCACGGGGAAGCAGCCAGTCCTTGAACACATCGTGGAAGTCTATGGGTTCTCCATCCCTTCGCGTTCGCCGCAACCTGAAGCTTAGACGTCAACTTTCAAACAAGGGGTTTCTGACTCCTCCGCCTTCTACAAGTATGTGTGTGTGTGTCTATTCAGATGAAAGCAACAAAGAGCTGACGAGACTTGCTCGTCCAAGTGTAGAAGCAGTGTTGCTTGGCACAAACCAAACCACTGCCACAACATGTTGCACACTAGTTTGAGTGCAATAATTCACCGATCAGCCTGGAGCCTTAAGGATTGCCCATGCAATCTATAGAATTCAGTGGAAGAAGAAAGCGTGAACAAAAGTAAGGGTATAAAGAATCAGGAAGGGAGCGCGTAAAGAGAAGACGTGGGCCGGCACCAGCACCAGCACTGACACCCTGTCTCGGAGCAAGAAGTGTTATAGAGGAAAGGTTTGGCACTGGTCAGGGTTGATTTTGGAGCCATATGGGAGTAGGTAGCATGAGGGGAAGGTTGGGATGAGTCCGAAGAAAAGGGGCGAGAGGCTCTGAGAGGTTTTTGGAGGCAGTGGAGATGGGTCGGATTGGAATCAAAATGGCCCTTTTGTCATGATGTCCTTGTGACCGTTTTTGACCCTTGAGGCCGCTTTGGTTGCCAAGTCACTCTGCCACGTCAATGCCAGCAATTACATGACCTTCACTGGCCATTACAACCTGACGTAGCACAATTTGGAAAAGCTTCAAAAACAAAAACGCTGGGCATTTTTTTGCACCAACGAAGGCTGAAAACTTTTCAACTTCCACCATCTAAGGCGCTTGCCCACTTGCCTTCATGAGAACAATTTACGTTCCAGTTGGGTGCCTGTCAGGCAAATGCTGCGGTCTTCCAACTTGTCAGCCCATAGGGCCGGACTCAGGTATTGCCAGCTGCGTAGAAAAGGTGGGGAAACGTGTGGTTGAGGAAACAAGCCTAAACATAACCGCATGGTGGGCTCAGAAGGTGCTGACCGGCCTCATTTTCTGGGCATAGTGGATGTGCCAAGAACGGTTTCCTGAAGGATTCCCACAATAACGGTTGAGTCCTGATGCTGATGCTTTGTCTTTTTTCCGAAAAACATAATAAAATGCTTCAAGGTGCAGAAGCCCCGGCCTTCCTTTGGTTCTCTTGATCTCCATGCCATCGAAATTAGTTTTATTCCTTACGGGGACTATACTGCTATTCGTCACAGGATCTCTGCAAATACTTCTGGATTAAGTGCATCTATATAAGTCCATATATCCATGAAAAACAAGTTGCTCCACCACTACATTGAGCACCAGGTCAAGCTCACTGCCAACTGCCAAGTTGCAGCGAAGATGCACTTGCTTGGCCTTAGGAGCTTGCACGCAACTAAACATCATAGTCAAACGAGTTGAATTCAATAATAGCCTTTTGCAAAAGCAATCATGAGCTGCAAGTGTCCACAGTGATGACACAACTAAATCGAGAGATGCACGCACCAAAAGCCGCGATATCAGCGCTCGCTTCTGATCATCCAGAAACTTGAAGCGCAAAACCTGCCAGTTGCGCTACGGCTCACTGCAGGCTTCATTTGCTCATGAGGCACCATGCTATTGAGCTAAGATTCAACAACAGAAACATGCCAGCGCAGCGGCTTTCCTTTCATTTTCTTCCTTGATCAGGCGGAGCAGGAACTGAAATTCGCTGCCTTCCTTGGGACGGCTAAAGTCACACAGAAAGGACTAGGCCAGCTTAACTTCGAGCTGAGAACCGAGCAGATCCTCCTGCCGGATTCCAGTCATCGATGTTGATGGCCTCAACAGAACAAACAAAAATACAATGTGTTTTATCCCAATCCAGTAGCTGAGAAGAGTGCCCATCGATGGGTGTAGCCAGAAGAAGGCCCAACTACCTCCTTGCTTTTGACTGGCAATGTCAAAACCTCAAGACACAAGCTCCTCTTTCACAATAATTCTGGGCAAAGTCAAACTTCTCAGTAGTTGACCAGTTTGCTTTCGGCTTTGATTTCCTGTGGCTTCTCCTCTGCTTCCTACCGTTGCTCACCGTCCCCATCCATGGAGTGGGTCTGAAAGTCAGAGCTTTGTGTGCTGGACAGCTGGACGCAAAAGACTGCACGAGCGACGCCAGTCGTGAAACAAGTCGTGACACGAATGGCGAAAAGGAGAAGCCGCCTTCTCTTCTTTCTTTGTGAGCAGTTCTTTGCCGCTGATTCGGACACTTACCCAGCCTTCCTGGCCATTGCATGAACCAAACGCGACCAAGATTTGCAAATTGTCCTGTTGCCCTCATTTCTTGAGAAGGAAGCCTCATTGACTCATTGCGGGTTCCAGCACTGGCTCTCTCCAAACGTGCTTGTTTGAGGCAAAAACTATTGAATATTGATTCCAAATGTTGAACACTGTTGAAAACTGTTCCATTGTCTGAACTGGCCTCAGGACCACTGCCCAAGATACGCCGATAGTGGAGGCGCTCGCCAGTGATGTGCAACTGCTCCACCTGAGCGCGCTGGTCATGTTCCAACATCAGTTTGAAAAAGTGCTTTGAAGAATGTTTTTGTCAGATGTTTCTAGATTTTTTGCGTTTGCTTCTTATCAGAAATCCCTATTTTGAAGGCTTCACACGACTTCGGCCGCTTCCAGAGTCCGGTCCACGGTCTGGTCTTGGCTTTACTACCCCGTGGACCTGTGTTTGGCATAAAGGCCTCAAGACCAAAACAAAGGCGCGATATGTGTTTCCTCTGTTTTTCTCTAGGCTTCCTGTCTCCTTTCTTCCAATATCTTCCAATACTGTCCTCTCTGATCTTCACTTGCCCAGTTGGTCCCTCAGCCTCAGCGCCAGTAGACAAGCGTTCAGTGCAGGCTGCAGAGGAGAGCTCCTGTGCTCAAGTACAAGCAGCAAGTGCTCCCAACACTCTTTGCCATCTGCTTTTGTCTCTCTCTCTCTCTCTCGGTCTGCTCTCTAATCGCCTGCCATTCTCTTTATGTTTAGTTGCTCAGTTTGACCATGAGTGGGTGGCTTCGACAGCTCGTCTAACCTAATGTCTTGAATATGGGATGCATCCTGGCCTGACCACGCCGAACCAAAATACCACCTTTATCTGCACCTCCAACGGCCTTGATCAAACTCACACACAGAGACACATACACTGCATCTTTGTTCATGATGGTCTTTCTGTACTGAAATCTTGGAACCACGGAACCTCTTCCCAATCTCTCCAGAGTTCTCAGAATCCTGCGACCCAAAGAGGCATGGATACTTTGTCCCACTGAGCCTCACAAGGGCAAGCTGTACAGGTTCAAGTAGGTTCCACCAATCAAATTTTCACCGATCACCATACACCCTTTGAGAATCAGGCTCAAACTGCAATCTTCCAACTGGACGTGAAAGCAAAGCCCAAAGGAGCGCTTGCGGCTCGCTTTGCTCGCTTTTAGGATCCAAAAGGACAAAAGCTAAAGATACGAAAAGCAACTGATAGTAAAAGCAAAAGCGTCAAAAGCAAAATTCTTGGAGTTGAGATTAGATTAATCACACGCCAGCCAATCCTTGAGCCACAAAACGTGTTGGCAGGCATACGTAATTGTATGTAAGTGCGTCATGGCCATGAAGGGCGAAGCATGCAAAGCGTGCAAATTGTAGCAAGAAACCACACTTCTCCTTTTTCACCTCACTTCGTGGGCTGAGCGTCCGCAAATCTGAAACGACCAAAGCAACTGAGATTCGAAACCTACACTGGACACACTCTCCGGACTAGCTCGACGCACTCTCTGGACAACTGCGGACTTTGCCTCTGCACAATTTTGTCCACAGTCCCTCGCTGCAATGTTGGTGCAACACAGCTGAAAGTGTATGTGGATTGTATCATTATGAGCTCAACTGCTCATTGCTCCTTATCAATCATCAATCACTTGTCAATTCAATTCACTCCTTTCAAAAGTCCCTGCTTTTTCCTGCCAAATCGTTGCTCTTGTTGCTATTGCTGTTTGATACTATTGTTGTTGCTGCTTATTCTTGTTGGTGCATTGGTGTCTGTTGCAAGCGACAGGCCAAGCTCTATGCCCCGTGAAGTTGACCATGTCGTCGTTGGAGCAGGTACTCCTGATGAAAAACAAAACGAGCAGACCGAACCTTTAGGTGACCGGACAAGTTACAGGCACATATCATTTGTTAGGGTCAAAAATGCACATACCGACGCCTGCTGCAGCCTCGGTCTCCTTTTAATTGACAAATATATAGTTGAATATATACATGGCATTGAGATTGGGATAAGGACGACTCGGGTCTGCGGGCAAATCCGTAACGAAGTGTGTGTGTGTGTATATATATATCCGCCGACCCCGGCCTATAGCCAAAGCCTAGGCGGGGAGGCGCCTGGGACACCGCAGGGTGAAGCAGCGACGTTGAGCATTTTGGACCGCCTTCAAAAGCCTCTCGGCAGCCGGCAGGCCTGTTGCGGGCTCTCTGTGGCCTGTCCGAAGCGTGCCTCCTCTCGAAGGCGACGTTAGGCATTTTGGACCGCCTTCAAAAGCTTCTCGGCAACCGGCAGGCCCGTTGCGGGCTCTCTGTGGCCTGTCCGAAGCCTGCCGCCTCTCTTCTTATGGGCTTCCGAAGGCGACGTTAGGCATTTTGGACCGCCCCCAAACCGGCAGGCCTGCCTCTTCTCTTGGCCTGTCCCAGGCCTGCCTCTTCTTTCTTATGGCAGGCCTGCCAGCAACGTTAGGCCTTTTGGACCGCCCCCAAACCCCTCTCGGCAGCTGGCAGGCCTGCCTCTTCTCTTGGCCTGTCCCAGGCCTGCCTCTTCTCTTCTTATGGGCTTCGATCCGAAAGCAACGTTAAGCATTGTGGACCGCCCCCAAACCCAGCTGGCAGGCCTGCCTCCCTCTTCTTATGGCTTCCGAAAGCAACGTTACGCATTGTGGACCGCCCCCAAACCCTTCTCGGCAGCTGGCAGGCCTGCCAGCAACGTTAGGCATTTTGGACCCCCCCAAACCCTTCTCGGCAGCTGGCAAGCCTGCCTCTCCTCTTCTTATGGGCTTCCGAAAGCAACGTTACGCATTTTGGACGGCCCTCAAACCCTTCTCGGCAGCTGGCAGGCCTGCCTCTTCTCTTCTTATGGGTTTCCGAAAGCAACCTTAGAGCCATTTTGGACCGCCCTCAAACCCTTCTCCGCAGCTGGCAGCGCCGTTGCCCAGGCTCCAAACCCCTTCCCGGGACCCTTGGCTGCACATTCCTGCACCGCAGCCTTGCCTGCGAAAGCCGGTGTTACTGTTATTCATGGTCGCTTTCTATTTCGTCGCGTCGTGCTTGCTCTCCGGAACTAGCCAGCTCTTTGTCGGGCATTGTTTTCCTGAAGGTGCGTTGTGTGTGGCCTGAGTGCGCCCAAAGAGCAGTTGTGGCCTCTCTGTGGCCTGTCCGAAGCCTGCCTCCTCTCTTCTTATGGGCTTCCGAAGGCGACGTTAGGCATTTTGGACCGCCTTCAAAAGCCTCTCGGCAGCCGGCAGGCCTGTTGCGGGCTCTCTGTGGCCTGTCCGAAGCCTGCCTCCTCTCTTCTTATGGGCTTCCGAAGGCGGCGTTAGGCATTTAGGACCGCCTTCAAAAGCCTCTCGGCAGCCGGCAGGCCTGTTGCGGGCTCTCTGTGGCCTGTCCGAAGCCTGCCGCCTCTCTTCTTATGGGCTTCCGAAGGCGACGTTAGGCATTTTGGACCGCCCACAAACCCCTCTCGGCAGCTGGCAGGCCTGCCTCTTCTCTTGGCCTGTCCCAGGCCTGCCAGCAACGTTAGGCCTTTTGGACCGCCCCCAAACCCCTCTCGGCAGCTGGCAGGCCTGTCTCTTCTCTTGGCCTGTCCCAGGCCTGCCTCTTCTCTTCTTATGGGCTTCGATCCAAAAGCAACGTTAGACATTGTGGATCGCCCCCAAACCCCTCTCGGCAGCTGGCAGGCCTGCCTCTTCTCTTCTTATGGGCTTCCCAGAGCGACGTTAGGCATGTGGACCGCCCCCAAATCTCGGCAGCTGGCAAGCCTGCCTCTCGGCCGGCAGGCCTGTTGTGGCCTCTCTGTGGCCTGTCCGAAACCTGCCTCCTCTCTTCTTATGGGCTTCCGAAGGCGACGTTAGGCATTTAGGGCCGCCTTCAAGGCAGCCGGCAGGCCTGTGGACCGCCCCCAAACCCCTCTCGGCAGGTGGGAGAGAGGCAGGCCTGTTGTCGCCTCTCTGTGGCCTGTCCGAAGCCTGCCTCCTCTCTTCTTATGGGCTTCCGAAGGCGACGTTTGGCATTTTGGACCGCCTTCAAAAGCATCTCGGCAGCCGGCAGGCCTGTTGCGGGCTCTCTGTGGCCTGTCCGAAGCCTGCCTCCTCTCTTCTTATGGGCTTCCGAAGGCGACGTTAGGCATTTTGGACCGCCTTCAAAAGCCTCTCGGCAGCCGGCAGGCCTCTTGCGGCCTCTCTGTGGCCTGTCCGAAGCCTGCAGCCTCCTCTCTTCTTATGGGCTTCCGAAGGCGACGTTAGGCATTTTGGACCGCCCCCAAACCCCTCTCGGCAGCTGGCAGGCCTGCCTCTTCTCTTGGCCTGTCCCAAGCCTGCCTCTTCTTTCTTATAGCAGGCCTGCGTTAGGCCTTTTGGGCCGCCCCCAAACCCCTCTCGGCAGCTGGCAGGCCTGCCTCTTCTCTTGGCCTGTCCCAGGCCTGCCTCTTCTCTTCTTACGCAACGTTAGGCATTGTGGCCCCCCCCCCAAACCCCTCTCGGCAGCTGGCAGGCCTGCCTCTCTCTTCTTATGGCTTCCGAAAGCAACGTTACGCATTGTGGACCGCCCCCAAACCCTTCTCGGCAGCTGGCAGGCCTGCCAGCAACGTTAGGCATTTTGGACCGCCCCCAAACCCTTCTCGGCAGCTGGCAGGCCTGCCTCTTCTCTTCTTATGGGCTTCCGAAAGCAACGTTACGCATTTTGGACGGCCCTCAAACCCTTCTCGGCAGCTGGCAGGCCTGCCTCTTCTCTTCTTATGGGTTTCCGAAAGCAACATTATAGCCATTTTGGACCGCCCTCAAACCCTTCTCCGCAGCTGGCAGCGCCGTTGCCCAGGCTCCAAACCCCTTCCCGGGACCCTTGGCTGCACATTCCTGCACCGCAGCCTTGCCTGCGAAAGCCGGTGTTATTCATGGTCGCTTTCTATTTCGTCGTGTCGTGCTTGCTCTCCGGAACTAGCCAGCTCTTTGTCGGGCATTGTTTTCCTGAAGGTGTGTTGTGTGTGGCCTGAA